CAGTTTAGTATTAAATTGCTAAAAGGTTTAAAGGAGAATAGTGTCTAACGGAGTGGGGTGAAGACGAACGAGCTGAAGTGAAAACAAGTAATTATGGTTTGGATGAACGCCAGTTAAATTGAAATAATTATGAAAACTTCTATAAATACATACAACTGTGTTTTTAAGGTCATCCATCTATCCATTCTCTTGGGCCAGTAACAAGCAGCTAACCAAAAGCAACAACTATGAAAAGAAGAATACAAGTGATTTTTTTTTTGCAACTTGTGAAGGGAAAAATAAGAAAATTAAAAGGCGTTCTTCTGTGTTCTGTGTAAAAATAAAATTTTTCTTTTTTCTTGTTGTTGTAGTTTTCTGCTTTGAAAGAGAAAAGGGTCACAACTCATTTATAACAGATTGCGGATATTATTTCTATGGCTGCTGGTGCTTCTTCTTTTTCTTCAACTACTTCTTCTGGGGCCTTCAGTTTAACAATATGACGCTTCCTTTGCGCCACCATCGCAAACAGTAAATATTGTGTTATAAACAGTGAATAATTAGATGCAATCAGTCACAGCTTAAGTACCACGAGTCATATAACATTAGCAAGCAACCCAAAGGAAAGAAAATGGAGAGAAGACGAAATGTATACGTTTAAAAAAACGTACACGGAATTGGAAACAGTAAAAAATTATCTTTTTAGTGGCAAAAAGAAACGAAGAGAAAGATTACATAAAGTTCTGATATGACTTTCTTAACTGATACTCCAATAGAAGCGGGAGAAAATATTGAGAAACTTTCTGTCATTTTTTATTAAATTTTTCTTTTAATCAAAATGAATTTTATTCAACTACATAATGGCCATTGTCATCTTTGCCAATTTTGTGGTAGAGCCCATTAAATCGTCATTGTAAAACTTATGGAATTTATTGGCAAAAAAGAATCAAGCGATTTTTAAAGACAGCAGGTTTTGAAGACAGTTTAACATCAATAAAAGATTTCAGTAAAGAGAGCGAAACAAATGGTAATCGGTCGCGGTAAGTTTCGAGCTATATAGTGGACACTTAAAAATTTCCCAGCCTAGTTGCCTCAATCTTTTCCGGGTGTGTAATCTACCGTGGACATGGTCAGGGTCAACCGTAGGACCGAGTTCTAGAATTTCATAATTTTTGAGAATTGTTTCTTATGCCTTCATACGCACTGTATAACCTTATCGGGTGACAATTTTGCCTTTGTGGTCGTTTTGATAGTTCGCCTTTCTTTGACGGTACTTGTTTTCGAACGGCGGTCTCGTATTTTGACCGATGTTTATCGTTAATAATCATCGATTGATTTTCAGCTTTTTTGATGTTTGATCAGCCAAGGTTCATCTTTGTAATCGAAATTTCCTGAACGCAAGCGAGGCAGCCATCTTACATTCGTTAAAGCATCATGATCGAACGAAACACAATCTTTCTTTGCCGGATATTCGTAGTGTTTTTGTTTTTGGGAAATTATATTCGTAGGCAGCTTTTCATGTGACGCAAACCGACAATTAGTGCTGCTGGATGTATGGGAACAAATACCATCTATAATGACAAACGTCTCACTATGTTTTTTCTATTATAATATCAAAGCGTTATATGGACAGATCGATAGCGTGCCTTCTGATTAAAAAAAGAAACATTTGTTGGGGCGTTAGAAGCTTTAATATAAATTTTGGGAGTAAAATATTTTATTTTAGACCAATTTAACATAAAGTAGCGTTGTGTTCAATTTTTTAACAATTTCATGTCATTCTACTTGTCAAGTCAAGTCAAAAAGGTAGAATACGTCATGTAGTATCTCATTATTTATAGGACTTTGCGTGACATGTAAGGGGAGTACGATCAATATCCTTCGTCAATTAGTTGTGAAGTGCAGAGAGTATAAAATGCTGTGTTTGAAGGACATTTAAGGGTTTGCATGTGGTATGACTTCCAGAAACGAAGCAAGGCATCGTTTGTGATAAATGTACGGATCTGCCAATCATGGCTTGTCAAATTCCGTTGAAGAGATTTGGGCCTCAAAGACAATTGTCCATATGGGCAATGGCGACCTTTTTCTATCCATGTTAGGGATTAATCTGCTTTTTTTGCAATAACCAGCCATTCGACTGCTGAGGTGTACATCAAATATTTTGAAATTCATATGTTGTTTATGAAACACGGCATTACTTGACAGCGAATGTAATATAATTACGGATGGTTCAAGGCAAAAAGTACCGCTAAATTAGCTTGAGGCTGTTACGCATTATTTCTAAAAACTTTGAAAGCCCTTCAATTACTCCTTCAGTCCTTCAATTGCTCCATTTAAACGCCTACGTGTAAAATATGTAACTGTGAATATCTTATATTCATCGTTGTGGTCGCGACTCTTCTTAATTACATCGAATTACATCTCGCTTTTTATTTCTCTCAAGAATTAATTGAGCTCATATATCTTTTACTTCTTTCTATTTGAGGTTAACATAATTCATGAATTTAATTACATGTTAATTTTCATAATTCAACATCAACTTTACTGTTATAATACTCTTCTCATGCCATTTTATTTAAATTAATTATGGGTAAGTTTTTAAACTATGTTATGATATCAGTAATTAATCATTATTTCTGAAAAAACTTTTTTTTTTTTGCTTTTTTTGGCACAGATTTTAAATCATTTTTCATAGATGAGAAATTTTGAGCGTAATTAATTTACTAATTGAACTGTAATTATTTATTATGATATACTATGAGCAAGTAATAGCCATGAATATATTTATTGTTTTCGAAACGAAAACAAATTATTCTGTCATATTTCTGCGCCTTTAAAATGTATATAAGAGTATGATGTACAACTGCCGGATGGCATTTTTCGATTAATTATTTCATTAATTTAATCATTTTCCTTTATATCCAATAGCAAGAATACATAAAATTTGTAGAAATGGTGCAAGTTTACCTCAGTTTATTTGTAGATCTGTTGAAATGAACTTTATAAACCCTAAAATGTGTCCGTATATGGCATAAGTCCCAAGAGCGACAAGTCATCAAATTACGAATTACCAAGGTGGTCAGGGTGCCCAAAGGAGAGTTGCTTCTGGTATGACGATGAACTTCCTATCAGGCTGCCGGAATGAATGTCTTCTTTTTTGAGTGCTGGGTATGGCCTTTTGATGACCGCGCTGTAGTTGGCCCCAAGTTTCATGGGGCCATTCAGAAATAGTAGCAATAGATGGAGCTCAACGTTTACAGAATGGAGCGAGAAAATGGCTTTTAAGCATTTTCCATTTTGGCATCCCAGCAGTAATAGGGACAGTTTCAATTAGTATTATCCATCTCATCGGGTGAGTCGGTTATCGCTTATCAAATTAACTCATGTACTGTCGGGCGCGGTGAAGGTAGGCCATACGCGCCGGGTATTCACATTAAACATTGCAGGAATCTGTATACTTGATCCAATTCCTATTGATATTTATCATAAGAATAGTAAAGAAGACAACTATAAAAGTTGTTTGCAAACGTAACATATAGGTGTCATGTTAATGTAGAGGGCAAGACTATTTTAATTCGGTGGGGAAAACCTTAACCCGATGCGATTTCGAACATGATGACGATAGAAAAGAAAGGAGTCGGCAAAATGGCTTGGCTGCGATGTTAAATACATCATGTAAACGGACAGAGATAAATACAATCGTTCGAGAGAACCGTTGCTTAGTGCAAATTTCTCCTCTAATGGCGTTGCACACTCACTAGCCAGGTAATCTAATGATGGACAGAAAAATAGATGTATCTTGTTGCATATTGCTGGAGGGTCTTCTTTTCCATTTTCCTACTAATATAATTTTTATTTATCATATCCGTATTTCAAAATTATTTTATACTCATGTATAAGCAAAAACTTAAACGAACTTCGAAAATTCAAAATATTTATTAAAAACACAAAGTAACGGCGGGAACAAAATAGTGCGGTCATCGCTAAATGTAGATTCGATTAGAACAGTAATATACGATCTTTCCTTTATCTTCTAATTAAATATCATCTATAATGCACGTATGGATCGAGCAATTTTAAGGATAAAGTCCTAGTAGTTTTTGATCATGACGCCATTAAGGTATGCATAAAACATACGAATCACAATAGTTGAAGACTTTTTTTACTTTCAAGGGGCAGGCAAATCTGTAATACTTACCTTTCTTACACCCTTTCTTTAAAAAGGATGTTGACATACTAGATTTGTTGTTCCGCTTGCAATGTTTAGCAATACATATCGTTTGGACCTAACAATATCCATCACGCGGTCAGTATGTCTTGAGATGGTTCAAACACTCATAGCTAGTCCTTAATTAAGAAGCGACTTTTATCAAATCGGCAGACACGGGCTCAATTCTCAGTGCAGTAGACAGCATTTAAATTACGATTGATGCGCGGTCGTAGCTGTAAGCGGTGCTAAACCGGTACAACCATAACAGTTACCGATCGAGGATCCATTTTCCAGGTTGCTGGCATACCATACCTTTCTCCCCGACACCGTGCTGCCCGTATAGAGGCATTATTAGTCATATTAAAAAAACAAAAGGGATGGAATGGCAAAATTGAAAGTTAGAATAAAAAGTTTTAAATACACATGCCCAGTTGATGACCATAAGCGAAGTCTATGCCTAAACGTATAGATCCGTACCTACATTAGGCAATATTAACGATGGCTTGGAATCTCTAACAGATATTTCTTAATATTTGAGAAAAATTGTTACCCGATAAACGATCAATAGAAAATTGGTCCTAATTAATTAATTATGGCACTGTTATAATTTAAAATTTTCATTTATTGGCTATCAAAGTTTTGCATTTAGGCAAATATAAGTGTCTTACTCCTTTAGCTCTCTTAATTCTTAACGAGCAGCTTAGATTTATTTTTCACTATTATTATTATTATTATTAATCAGAGTACTGCTTCTGTTGTTGTTGCTATTATTATATTATTGTTATTATTATTTTTAGCAATACATAACACTTACCAATATCGAATGCATAACAGCCATTACCAAACGGTGATTCGTTCCAGATGCCGCCACTCAATAAAATCAAAGTCAATGTCAGCCAACATAAAGTTTTATTATTATTAACACCATGACGCTTAACGTTCCAATAACTTTTAACGCAGTTTGTTGTTATTGTAAAATATTTGAAACATATAACCAGCCATTGAAAACAGTAATTATTATCGGTGTTGTTTTTGTTGTTTTTATTCTTATTGATATTGTAAAAATTTTATAGGCGGCATTTTATGATGCGTTCTACGTTGCCAGCGTGTGTTCCCTTTCTCTTAGCTTTAGTAGCGTTGTTTGTTGTACTTCTTAAATGAAATTTTTATGAAATATATAACGCATCACTACAAACGCCCCATCATAAAGCTAATCGTTTCCACTCTTCTTGCATTACATATTAAAGCATAGCCAATGCTTTCTACGCGGATATCTCCTTTATTTCGAATGATTGTGGTTGTGTATGTAAGCTTAACACACAAGAAAAAAAAAAGGGGAAAAAAAAACAAACGAAGAAATGAACTCAACACCAGTGTATTTATCTAATTCTTACGATTTTAATCGATTGAATATTCAGTTTTTATTGTTATTGCTTTTTATTTATTTATTTGTTAATTTTTTTTTTTTCTGTTTTTTGTTCTTTTTTTGATATCAAACTATTTTGCTATTTAGATACCATGACGTTGCTATAGTTGTTGTTACCGTTGCTTTTGTGTTTTGTATTTTATAGTTACACCCGTTTAATTGTAAATTCCAGTTGTTGTTATGGCAGTAGCGACGCATCAAAATAAGTAACATTTCTCTTCTCCTTCGATTGAATTAAAGAACAACTTATCAAAATATAAATAAGTGTTTGAGAATCTCTTTAACTTTGCTCACTTTTCGTGCTTAACGCGTGGGTGTCTTCTTGTCAGTCTATGTTTGTCTGTCTATTCCCGAGTGTGTATGTGCCCGTAACTTTGTGCATGTGTAAATGTAGCCATGTGTACGTATCTCAATTTTACAGCATTTTTATAACGATGCGTAACGTAACAAAATTCACATAATAAACCGTCACAAAAAAAGGACCACGCAACGTGACATTATGTCGTTTTTTTTTTTTTCTCTTAAATTAATTTTTTTTCTTTTTTATTTTTTTGCTTCTTTTAGTCTATCTGGATGAATGAACGTATACCGCCTGCAGTTGAATGAACGCGCAACACGCGAACGTTATGTGAATTTAGGACGACAACGACGCCAACAACTATATCTGTAACGAGAATAAAAAGGAACAAGTAAGAAAGTTATATTCGTGCGCTGACCGAATCTTTTGCTCCTATCACTTTTTAAAAAGAATCAAAAAAAAAGTGGGGAAAGTGAAAGGGAAAATACCGATATTCCATAATATTTTATGGTCTTAGCCGATTTTTTCGATTTTCATTTCTCTAAAGGTTACATAAGATCATCCCAAGAGTACGCAAGAACGCGTTTGACGCTGTATCTGCTGTAGTTTATGACTGAGAGCAATAAAAGGCTTCTTTTTTTTTTTTTCCTTTGAAAGCAAAGGTCTTCTTGGTGTAATTTTATGCCGTAAGTAAGCGGATCTTTTGATCAGCTTCGTCCTCCTGGCAACAATTTCCAATGCGTTTGTTAAGTTTGAAGACAGACAGACAAAAACTTGGATAGAGAGACGGACTATATCCTCATATTTGAAACCCCTAGAAAGTTTTTCGTACACAACCAAGTAGATGAGCTGGAAGGCGGATAGACAGACGGACAAACATATAGATGGGCGGAAGACATGCCTAGATTGATCGTGATTTTGCTGTTACTCGAGTGTACATATATGCTTTGTAAAGCGTCTGACGGTTCATTCAGTGTGTTACAAAGAGTTCGACCAAACAAATATATTCCCGACTTTCGGTGATTGGTATAAAAAGACTGTGAGGAACGACTTGTATTATTATTAAAACGAAATCACAAATGAACACATACTCATACCCACAAATATACATATATATATATATTTACACACACACACACACACACACCAGATAATAATTGAATTTAATGAGAAGTGTATACAATTTCAGTTTCTGGGTCAACGAGTACACAATGCGAGGTAGAGAAGGCAGAAAGTGAGCATTTATAACGAAGTACACATAGTAATTAGTGAACTGTGATAGTGAATGAAAATGGGCTTGCTATAGATACAAGAATGTAAGGTATTGAAGGACTTTCAAATAAAAGTTTCGTTAATTCTACTGCAGCATTATAAGGAAATATGATAATTTGAACGAACCGATATATCTTAAGTTATTTAACTCCTCTTAAATGGTAACTGCATTTTAACTGAGTTAGCTAGCTTTCGAATTTAAATTCATTTTACATTATAATAAGATTCACAATAAACATTAAATTCAACAGACTGGCAGATAGGCAATCAAACTTGACGCTTGAATCAATTCCATTATTCTTAGCGATTAAAAATAGATATACTTTCTGATATATCAGATGCGCATTTCTACGCATTACGCGTATTTATTTAAGGATGTCTAGTATACACTCCTTGTTTGGGTACAAAAGCAATGATTTGTAATTTTGTTGAAAAAGTTCGCAGTCTCTCAGTGCTGGCATCAAAAATATATCGTCCTTATCGACTTGCAATCCTTCAGCTGTGAAAACACCATTAATTCGAAATCAATCTATCAAATAGTTTAATACCGACAGCTGCTTAACTTGTGTTGCTTGTGTTTTTTGAAAAACAATGGCATGAAAAATGCTTGAATGATATTGAAAACAACGACAAGGATAAAAAAAAAGAAAAAAAAAAAAAAAAAATTAAAAGAAATCCCTTAGAAACTGAAAGCGGGCAAAAAAAAAAATAAATAAAAGAAGACTTCAAATGGGAAAAAAACGTATTGACATCATTTTGACAATTCATATTAAAGTTGACAATATATCTTCAAAAATGTGACGTCAAGAAGTTAACAATCTTAAAGTGAATCGAAAGTAGAAGATCGTAGTAGATTATAGCTCATAAATAATCTTTTTTAAGCAATTTCTAACCCTTTAGTACAACTGTATAGGGTAAAGCAAATAATGAGGAAAACAATTATATATATAAACATTTTGCAAACTTGATGATTAATTATGAACTCCTTTTAATTAACTTATGAGGAACTCCAGTAATATCATAAACATCATTAGTTTTATAAATAACGTGGTAGTTAAAGTTAATTAAAAAAATTATATTACATTAAAGTGTTAAACTTCATTATGTCAAAATAGGACGATGTCATTACATCATCATCACAGGGATTGTAATATGAAAAAAAGTTTACGCTTCCGCGTAAAAAAGATTGTTTGAATTTTCTGAGCACAAGGTTTTTTAAAAAGCGCTTGATTGTGCAGTGCACTGCACGTTATCAGAGAATGTTAAAAATACTCGATACTACGTTAGGATCGAAAATGTCAGCATTGAACGCAACGTAAGTGAACAGTAAGATCTATAAGAACAAATGGCAATAGTTGCATCGCTTTGAGAGCTTAAAGCATCCGGAAGACATTAAAGTGACAAGACATTCCGATAGGAAAATTATGATGAGGCGTAGGAAAGATGGTCCCAACGCGTCAAACTGAAACCGAAAATTGTCTAAGTATCGAGACTATTGCCGGCGATTCTTTAAAATGAAGATTTGAGAAAAATGTGGCTAGCATCGAAAGATTTTTTTATTTACATGATCAGGACGACAGAAATCGGTGTTTCTCGATATATATATTTTTATATAAAAATTATTAGCCTGACAAGTCGGCATGGCGAATATATCCGCTATAAACACTGTACAACGCTTTTTATTGTGACGAATGCATACGTCATACTCCGTCCATCTGTCCTTGTCCGATTTCTTTCTAAAATTTCATCATTTTCAATGTTGTTTTGCCATAATAATGTATATTAGGAAGTGTGTATATCATTTTGTCATGTTATTTCATTAAAATCTAATTGCAGGTTACATATACTCTTTGTGTGGCACAATTTAAATGCACATTTTTCAACGATCTCGACACAGTTAACTCTGGTTAATAGCCTCTCTTCTTTAAAATTACATTTAATTCAATTGTGTCTTCCACATGTCTCTATATGCACGGGCTCTTTTTTCCTTATTCCAGAGCATAAGTATCCCTTATGTTTTTGATTGTCACTATTACATGTTCACATCTTCATTATTTATAATTTGCTTTCATTTCTAACGTGTAATTGTAATTTTTAGAACATTTTCCATGGAACAACTAAAGTAATGCTGTACCAGTATTGATTACGTGATCGTCTCCTGGATTCAAATTTGGATAATTTTTATTTTCTAATATCAAAAGAGTAAAAAGTTTAGAAAGGGGCAAAGTGGTTGAAAAATTGCTCCGATCCGAGCGATTTTTAACAGCGTTCATGTTTGAGCCAAAACACGAAGGTTTATTGAATTTCAGCAAAAATCGCGATCTATAAGTGGAACACAAAAAAACGGACAAAGGGCAAGTTTCCAAAAAAAAGTCCCTTTGTACTTCTGGGTGTTGTATACACAGCCACAGACATTATATACCGTTGCAGGACAGCTGGGGTATGGTATAGAAACAAGGAAGCTACAACTGTTACAGATAATTATTTCGTTCATCTCAAGCGAATTCATTGCAAAAATGCGTTGACTGCCACTGCGGCAAAGAACGCACATGGGAGAATATTTTGAAGAATAAAGGCGTTCTTATCTGTTAATGTAGGGTTTTTCGTTTTCAGTATATCAGGTTGTTGAACGCCCTTGAATGTATTTACCCGTTAATCTGTATTAAGTTTCTAAGTACTAGTAAGTACTATTCCTTACTTTGTCTTAACCTGACATTGTCGAATTCTTATTTATTTTCATTCTTCAGCAGAGTGAAAGTTTCTTACGATAAATTACATAGGCGAGTATACGAAGAATACTGTTTATAGCTCTTAATAATAATCGATAAAAGAAAAAGAGATAGAAAGTCTCTGTTAATGTAAATAGAGTGCACACACACACTCTTGCTTTCTAATCTCATAAATAGTTGAGAATTCATCTTTGAAACGGGGGTAAAGATTTTATTAACCATACGATAATCGAGTCTTTTTATGTTTTATTTGAGTGCTTGCTTTTAAATATTTTAATTAAAATTATTTACTATATATATATATATATATATATATATATACATTATGGCATAAAA